TTTAAATGTGTCTCTGGCCATTTGTATGTGTTTTCTGGAATAGTGTTTTCAGAGCCTCCCTGTTTTTTTTTTAATCAGATTTTTTTTTTTTTTTGCTTTGAATTGTATGAGTTTTTCTTTTGGATATTAACTCCTTCTTAGGTATATTTTCCCATAAAGTGGGTTGCCTTTTCATTTTGTTGATGTTTGCTCTGCAGAAGCTTTCTGGTTTGATATAGTCCCAAGTGTTTGTTTTGGTTTTGTTTCCCTTGCCTGGGGAGACATATCCCAAAAAATTTCACTAAGATCAATGTCCAAGAGTTTATTGGCTGTTTTCTTTTAGGAGTTTTATGGTTTCAGGCTCACATTTAGCTCTTTAATCCATTTTAAGTTTATTTTTGTGTATGGTCAATCAGGGTGTTCCGTTTTCATTCTTTTATATGTAGCTGCCCAGCTTTCCCAACACCATTTATTGAAAAGACTGTTTTTGGCGTTTTGATAGAGATAGCATTGAATCTGTAGATTGCTTTGGGTAGTAAGGCCCATTTTATTAATTCTTCTTATACATTAGCATGGAATATCTTTCCATTTATTTATGTCTTAAATTTTTTCATCTATGTCTTACAGTTTTCATACGTTCAGACAAGTCTTTCACCTCATTGATTCCTAAGTATTTTATTCTTTTTGATACAGTTATAAATGTGATTGTCTTCTTGATTTCTTTTTGTGATACTTTGTTATTATTGTATAGAAACAACATTTCTGTATATTGATTTTGTATCGTGCAACTTTACTGGATTCATTTATTAATTCTACTAGTTTTTTGGTGGAGTCTTTTGAGTTTTCTATGTACAATATCATGTCATCTGCAAATAGTGACAGTTTATAGCTTCCTAACCTATTTAGGTGTCTTTTATTTGTTTTTCTCACCTAATTGCTGTGACTAGGATTTCCAACACTGTGTTAAAGTGTCAAGAGTTCTTACGTGAATGTTAAATCTCATCAGATGCTCTTTCTTTATCTATGGAGATAGATTATCACAAGAGTTATCCTCCCTTTTGTTATTGTGGTGTATCACAGTGTTGATATATGGGTATTGAACCATCCTTGCATCCTTGGAATAAATCCCATTTGATTATGGTGTATGATCTTTTCAATATATTGTTTGTAATTCAGTTTGCTAATATTTAGTTGAGGATCTCTATTGATTTTAAATGTTAAGTTAACTTCGTATTCCTGGAATAAACCTCATTTCCACATTAAGTATTATCTTTTCCATATATTTTTTGATTTACTTCATGAAGTTTTTATAAAGGATTGTTGCCTTTATTCTTATGATGTGTACTGATCTGTAGTTACACTGTGTTTGGTTTTTGGTATCAAGAGAATGTTGGCCTCATTAAATAAGAACTCTACCCTTTTCTATTTTCTGAAAGAATTTCAATAGGATAGGGATTATTTCTTGTTTAAATGATGGATATATTCACCAGTGAAGTCATGTTTTTTTCCAGTATTGGTACTTTGTGTCTTTAAAGTAGTTCTCTGTTTCATATAAGATGTTGAATTTATTAACATAACGTTATACACATTATCCTTTTATCCTTCTGCTTTCTCATACTGTACATAAGAAACTTGGAAATTAACACTCAATCCATCTTAACAAGTTAAAAGATGAACATACTGAGAAATCAACTCTTCTTAAATCCCTGAGAGGTGAAGTAACAGGGCATACCATTGCCCCCAGTGTTGGAGTTACAGCAGGAAATATAAAGAACACCAATCGTGGTAAATGTCCAGAAAGCCCCCCAAAACACATTGTCTTTTTTCATATTGCCAAAACACAGAAAAAATTCTGAAAGATAGAGGGCAAAAATACTGCACCTACAGGTAACAGAGGTAAGAATCATACCCAGCTTCTCCTTAGAGAGCATGCCTGCAAGCTCACATGCAGCATTCACCAGATAGACCACATTCTGAGCTACAAAACACACCTAAGTGAAAACGACTTACCACGATTTGGAATGCAGTAAAAGCACTATTTACAATGAAATTTATAGTACTGAACACATATATTAGAAAAGAAGATTGAAAATTAATCATGTAAGATTCCATCTTAGGAAACTAAGAAAAGCAAAGCAAATTAAGTCTGAAGTAAGCAGAAGAAGTAAAAATTACAGCAGAAATTTTCAATTTCAGTGAATTGATAGAGAAAATCAACAACACCATAAGCTGATTCTTTGAAAGATAAATAAAATCAATAAGCCTCTATTCAGGCTAAGATAAAAAGTAAGGGTACAAATTAATATCAGAAATGAAATAGGGACTATAACTACAGATATTATAAACATTAAAAGGATAATAAAGTTACACCAATTCTCTACAATGTCTGTCAGAATTTAGAAGCTGAAGGAGTACTTCCTAACTCATTCTATGATGACAGCATTACTCTAATATGAAAACCAGACAAATATATTAGAAGACAAAACTACAGACTAATCTTTCTTATGAACAGAAATGCAAAATTCCTCAACATAATATTAGCAAATCAAATCCAACAATGTATAAAAAGAATTATACTCTACAACCTAGTGGGATATATATCACACGTATTGAAGGCTGGCCCAACATTTCAAAATCAACTAATGTAATGCACCTCATTCATGGGCTAAAGAAGAAATTCATGTGATCATATCAGTAAATGCAGAAAAACCATTTGACAAAATCCAGTCCTGTTCATAATGTTTTCATTTATAGATTTATAATTCCTGTTTGTTCTTCTGTTATCTTTACTTTTTCTTTTATTTTCTTTAACATATTCATAGTGTATTTGAAGTCTGCCATATTTATCATTTCTCTGTCTGGTTTTTTGACTGATTTTTCTCCTGATCATGTTTCCTGATACTTATGCCTAGTAATTTTATTACTACTGTTCTTGTTTTTGTCCAGTTTTTGGATCATATGAATGCTACATTTTTGTATGTCTGGATCTTGTTTTCCTTGTCAGAATGTGGAATTTATTCTGTCTTACAAGTTACCTCACTTGTCTTTGCTTTAAAGTTTTTTAGGTGAATCTAGAGTAACCTTAAATTCTGGAAATAGATCAGCCCTGTTCCTCTGAGTTTTTGCCTTTATGGAGTCTCTCCTGAATGACTAGAGTGTTCAATAAGTATTTTATAATACAGCATTTGAAGCTCAATCATCTCTCACCTTTATGTAAACTCTGGTAATTGTTCAGCTTATTGTTCCTTACTAGTTGGTCTATCATGACTGGAAGCAAAAATTGTCAAGACCTTATCTAAAATGAACATTCCATTTCCCCAATATTATTTTTGCTGTAGCACTTACCATTATCTAAAATACTACATATTTTAATTGTTTGTTTACATTTTTTTCTCCCACTAATATACGTATTTCTTGAGGATTTTTGTCTCTACTCCTGGCATCTAGTTCATTTTCAACAAACATTTGTGAAAGAATTAGATGAAATTGAATTGTGAGTTTAGTGATTCATATCACTGGGATTTCTTTGGCCTTTTAAAAAGGTGGGGAAAGGACTATGATATCACTGTCATAAATTGGAGTTCAGGCTTGAGGCATTATGGTCTTTCTAGGCTTCATGGTACAGGTAGTGAAGATAAGGCTGTAGGGACCTGACTCAAAATGACTTAAAACCAGAAATTCTTGGTCTTTCTCCAGACAGTTGGATGAGGGACACTGTCTTATGGCAAAGTCAAAATTAGCAGGTGTTTTAAACTGAAGAGGATGTGCCTAAACAACTCAAAGTGCTAGAACAATATTAACAGCATCCATGTGGGAAATAGGAGAGATGTATTTATTTTTTAACAAATACACATATGGCACTAACAATGTACTGTATCTTTATAATGATAAAAACAGATTAAGGCTGATAAGATCCAATTCTTTGAGAATAAAGTTGGTAAGATCCAATTCATTGAGAATATTGGTAAACTAAAAGGCTAAGAATAGCATAATTGTTACTTTTTCCACCTTTCATATGAGGGCACAATTACTTGCAACTATAAAGTGCTTACTTCCCCATTTTGACATGTCTTAATATTTTGGCTGATAGTAATGAGCATGTGTAGGTTGGAACAGCACATAATTTGATGTTTAATTTTCATTTAGTTTTTCTTTTGTTCCCAAGCATAACTTTTGGTGCTTCGCTTTTTCCTTGCTACACATTGTAATTCATGTGTTTGATGTTTTTTATGAAGCAGTGTTTATTTTTTCACCCATCATTGCTATCTGGATTGGTATATATTGTGACTAATTCTCTCATAGGTTACTCTAATATGGTAAGACTAGGACACTTTGGGTTAGCAGTTAAAATTTAAACTAGTTTTTTCTCTTTTTCTTCCCAAAGTGGAAACTGACAAATTAAGTCAGTATTAATGGATTGCTGTAGTGAAACTTGCCTTAGATTAACGACCTGTTGACAGCTGTCATTTACCGGCTCAGGCGTGCTGGAGCTTAGTTAGTGCAAAGAAGCGTTAGTTCAGAATTTTCCAGACCTTCGCATTTTGTCAGTGTAAATAACAAAAGCAAAACAAAACAAATCTTTCAGTGTCTGGTCAAGTCATATCCACAGCCTTTTAAAGTAGTCCTAAAGTCAAATGCCTCTTCTTTACCTGTATTTGCTTTGTCACTGATGTACCTCTTGGGGTGCATTAGGTATTTAGCCACCTCAGCTGTCTTGGGGAAACTTAGTGAGTTTCAAATGTAATTGCCATGATGTTAACCTTTCTGAAAAATAAGCACCATTCTATACCAGGTCTGTATACTCAGCAGTGTTTTTATGAATCCACTCTCTAGCCTATGAGGAAATAATGTATTTTTTAGTCTTTTTGATAGCACTTATAATATTTTAAAGACACAAAGTTCAGAAAGTGTTATAATGTAGTAATATTCCTAATACTGGGAGAGGGAAAACAGCCAAGGTTTTAGTTTATTATAAAAATCAGCAACAAAATAACTAAGTGATAAAACTTTCTTCTCTTCAGGGCCAAGGAATATGAGAGTTTGATGGAAACAAAAAATTCTGGCTCTGAGTCACCTTACAAAGCAAAGTGAGTATTTTATCTTACATTTTAGTCTTCTGTCTCTTCAGTCTCTGCCTATAACAAAAGTTTATCTAAATTGTCCTTGTAGGCATGTGATCACAGGTTTGCGTCTGATGCCTAGAAGTTCATTCTCCTAACACAGTGGTATCCAACTGGGGACAGATTTGCCAGGGGATATTTTGCTGTGTCTGGGGATATGTGATACATTGCTGTTACCACAGCTTGGGGAGCTGGGCTACTGTCATTAAGTGCATAGAGGCCAAGGATGCTGTCAAACATTTTTCAGTGCACAGACGAGCCCCCACAGCAAAGAATTATCTCATCCAAAACATCAATAGAGTCAAGATAGAGAAACCCCGTTCTAACAGAACAGGTTCTGGCAAGGCTGTGCTGCATCTTGCTCTGAGATCTCGTTCAGGATTGTTGCTAGGGCCTCTTGACATACGAGGATTTAGACTCCGCCACTGAATGTAACCACACAATAAGTAAACAGAAACATCATTTTGCTCCTTTAAAATATATGGCCAGTAGAGGTGCAGTGAGAAAGGCACCCCACATACGCTGCTGATAGGAGTGCACATTGGTGTAGTCTTATTGAAAGGCAGTGAGAATCCGGAGCATACAACATCTACTTTAAGCTTCGCAGTGAAATAGTGCAAAATGTGCTTAAATATTTATATACAAAGATGATTATTTCAATTTTATTTATTTATTTTTATTTGATATCATTAATGTACAGTTACTTGAACAACATGGTTACTAGACTCTCCCTATTATCAAGTCCCCCCCACATAATCCATTACAGTCACTGTCCATCAGTGTAATTAGATGCTATAGAATCATTACTTCTCGTCTTCTCTGTATATATGGCCTTACCCATGTCCCGCCTTGCTACATTCTGTGTGCTAATTGTAATGCCCCTTTTCCCCCTTGTCCGTCCCTTCCCACCCATCCTGCCCAGTCTCTTTCCCTTTGGTAACTGTTAGTCCATTCTTGGGTTCTGTGAGTCTGCTGCTGTTTTGTTCCTTCAGTGTTTTCTTTGTTCTTATACTCCACAGATGAGTGAAATCATTTCATACTTGTATTTTTCTACCTGGCTTATTTCACTGAGTATATTATCCTCTACCTCCATCCTTGTTGTTGCAAATGGTAGGATTTGTTTTCTTCTTATGGCTGAATAATATTCCATTGTGTATATGTACCACATCTTCTTTATCCATTCGTCTACAGGTGGACACTTAGGTTGCTCCCATTTCTTGGCTACTGTAAATAGTGCTGTGATAAACATAGGGGTGCATATGTCTTTTTGAAACTGGGCTTCTGCATTCTTAGGGTAAATTCCTAGAAGTGGAATTCTGGGGTCAAATGGTATTTCTATTTTTAGTTTTTTGAGGAACCTCCATACTGCTTCCCACAATGGTTGAACTAATTTACATTCCCACCAGCAGTGTAGGAGGGTTCCCCTTTCTCCGCATCCTCGCCAACATTTGTTGTTTGTCTTTTGGATGGTGGCCATCCTAACTGGTGTGAGGTGATATCTCATTGTGGTTTTAATTTGCATTTCTCTGATGACTAGAGATATGGAGCATCTTTTCATGTGCCTGTTGGCCATCTGAATTTCCTCTTTGGAGAAGTGTTTTATCAGCTCCTCTGCCCATTTTTTAATTGGCTTATTTGCTTTTTGTTTGTTCAGGTGGATAAGCTCTTTACATAATTTGGATGTCAACACAAAACCTTTTGTTATCTGACATATAATTCTCATGTTTTAGGCTAAGAATTACAAAACCTCCACTTTTTCTTTTCATGCTAGAAAAAGGACTTTCAGAAGTAACTCAAATAATAATTTCAGTGTTAAAAACTATACCCTTTAAATAGCTTCTGTTCTTGTCTTGTGTGGAAGATACAGCTTTCAGGGCTTACGTCCTGTGACATTCTATAATTATTTATAAAATGAGTAAAAATCTGATGCTTCTTTCTTGAGAGGGGCTATGTCACTTTCAGTGCTTCTGTGGAGGTCGTAGTGGACAGGCTGAGGCCATCACCAAAGCATCCCCTGATCTGGCATCTTTCTTGAAGGGCAGGTTCATATGAATCCAAGATTAGATTTACTTCAAGGTGAAATACAAGCCTCTTGTATTCTGTGCGTTAAAATTGTCCTGTGCCTCCCTAAGTACCCTGGTTTTCAGTCAAATGTGAGCATTCTTGGTAACGATACTGCTAGACTCATATGCATCTGTTACTGTGAGTGGATATTTAGTTACATGGCATTCAGGCCTTATTCAGCCAAAAGCTGAAGTGGCTATTGACCTATCACATGGTAACGTTTGCTGCCAATATTCTTCTCCATGATAAAGTCATTGACTAACTGGATGGGACCCCAGCCCACATTCAGTTAGAAGGGGAAAGAAGCATGTTGCTCTAATTTTATTTTTTTCTTATATTCTCTTTTTCCTTCTGTTAGATCAAGACCTTCTCAGTAGTATAGTTGGTCATTTATTGAATGTCTACTTTAGTGAATGGTGTTTAATATATTACATATATTGTCTCTGTTCTTCAAAGGCTCTGAAATGAAAATTATTTTTTAGATGAAGAACCTCAGATTCAGATTAGTTAAATAACCTCCCCAGGGCTTACATATGTGATATGTGCTGGAGCCAGAATTCAAGCATAGGTATTTCTGATTTTAGAGTTTGTATTCTTTCTTTGACTTAAAGTAAAATTCCTTTGGATAGCTTAGGTTTAAACTGGAGTTCACCAGTCCTTTCTGAGATACATTTTCTGTTGTATTCTTTGAGAAAATTTCAATTTTACATAAATGTATATTTAGATAATGTTGTTTTCTGTGATATTATTCATTTGTGAATAAAATTTCCTTATTTGAATTGACTAATATGATCTGGAGACAAAAGCATGAGATTTGAAGATGAAGGGCCTAAGTTTCTAATCCCAGTAATAACTTTTATAAGCAAGGAGACCTTGGAAAAGTCACCTGACTTGCCTGATTCATAGTATTTTCATTTTTCAAACAGTGGTAATACCAATGAACACTGTTTTTCAGAGGATTAAATAAGTTCATGTACATGAAAGTATTTTGTAACCTGTGAGGTTATGGATGTTACTAATATTAATACAAAGAAGAAATATCTTCTTGAATCATTCATTGTGAAATATGTTGAGGGCACTTATATAGAGGTAGCGTATGAGGTACTATGTATAAGACAGTAAACAGGTTAAACTGGTAATAGGATCCCTATCATGAAATTAACAGTATGCTTCTGCATTGTCCAGTCGGATAACTTATAGCCACATGTCTATTTAAATTAAATACTTAATTTAAACTTAAATAGCCTAGTTTCTCTTCAGATCATATAAGTCTTTCACCTTTAGAGATTTCTGTGGAGAGGAATAACACTGAGTCATAAACCAAATTTTTTGAGGCTTTATTTTAATAGGGATACTTATTCTGTTTAAAAAAACCATAAACAAATAAAACTTTTAAATTTATTTCTCCAGTAACACTAACTATATTTCAAGTGCACAACAGCCACACTTGGCTAGCAGCCCCCCTGTTGGATAGTACAGATATGGAACATTCCCATCATTGTAGAAAGTTCTGTTGTAAAGTTCTGTATGGGAGAGACTTTTGATCAGTGATTTGATGTATAGTCAAATCAGAGAAAGTAATATTTCAGCTGAAAACTAAGAAATTTTCTAGGTAATGTGCAGGTAGCAAAAGTGTTTCAGAAGGAATAAATGAAGTGCATTTGCAAAGACACTAAAGCCAGATGACGAGGTTTAGAGCCAGAAATACCGCAGACATACAGCACCTGTGTGGCAAGGTACTGGGGAAATCAGCCTTCCTTGACTGTAATAGGAGAGAGAAGGGGAGCATGAATGAAATGCAGAAGCGGTTGTAGATTTTGTGGCAGAAAGTAGGGATTTTCTTGTTCCAATAGTTAATCATTTTCCCTATGAAATATAAAATCCTCTTATGAAAACGAGAGTGAAAAGAAAGGGTCGGTTTTTTAAAATTGTATTGAAGTATAGTTGATATACAATATTATATTTGTTTCAGGTTTATAACATAGTTATTCAATGGTTGTGTAGATTATGAAATGCTTACCACCCGTCACCATACAAAGATATTACAATATTATTGGCTATACTCCTTATGTTGTACTTTTCATCCTTGTGACTTTTTATTTTACAATTGGAAGTTTGTCCCTCTTTTTCCCCTTCACCGATTCTAACCATGCCCCAATCTCTCCCTCCCGTATGGAAACCATCAGGTTGTTCTCTATGTTTATGAGTCTATTTCTGTTTTGTTTGTTCATTCGTTTTAGTTTTCAGGCTCCACATGCAAGTGAGATCATACGGCATTCTCTCTAACTCACTCCTCACTGTACATGATACGCTCTAGATACTATGCTGCCAGAAATGAAAAGCTGCTCCACATCACTGACCATCAAGGAAATGCAGATCAAACCACAGTGAGACATCGTCTCACGCCGGTCAGAACAGCTGGTATCAAAAAGACAAGAGATGACAAGTCTTGGGAGGATGTGGAGAGACAGATGCGCCTGTGCACTGTTGGCGGGAATGCAAGTTAGTGCCGCCACTATGGAAAACAGTATGGAGGTTCCCTGAGAGATTAAAAATACAACCCAGTAATTCCACTTCTGGAAATTTATTCAAAGCAAAAAATCACTGATTTGAAAAGATAAGTGCACCTCTATGTTTACTGCAGCATTCTTTATAGTAGCTAAGCTATGGAAGCAATCTAAGTGTCTGTCAAAAGAAGAATGGGTAAAGAATATGTGGTACAAAACTAGGCAGCTATATGCAAGAGAATGAAACTGGATTATTGTCTAACCCTATACAAAAAAAGTAAACTGAAAATGGATCAAAGACCTGAATGTAAGTCATGAAACCATAAAACTCTTAGAAGAAAACATAGGCAAAAATCTCTTGAATATAAACATGAGCAACTTTTTCCTGAGTGCATCTCCTTGGGCAATGGAAACAAAATAAAAATTGAACAGATGGGACTACATGATGCTAAAGCTTCTGTACAGCAAAGGACACCATCAGCAGAACAAAAAGGCCTCCTACAGTATGGGAGAATATATTTGTGAATGACATATCTGAGAAGGGGTTAACATCCAAAATATATAAAGAGCTTGTATCCCTCAATACCCAAAAAGCAAATAACCCTATTAAAAAATGGAAGGAGTATATGAACAGACTGCTCCAAAGAAGAAATTCAGGTGGCCAACAGGCACATGAAAAGATACTCCACATTGCTAATTATCAGGGAAATGCAAATTAAAACCACAATGAGATATATCAACTCATGCCAGTTAGGATGGTCAACATAGAAAAGACTAGGAAAACAAATGCTGGTGAGTATGCAGAGAAAGGGGAGCCCTCCTACACTGCTGGTGTGAATGTGAACTAGTTCAGCCATTGTGGAAAGCAGTGTGGAGGTTCCTCAAAAAACTAAAAATAGAAATACCATTTGACTCAGGAATTCCACTCCTAGGAATTTACCCTAACAATGTAGTTTCCCAGTCTCAAAGAGACAGATGCACCCCTCTGTTTATTGCAGCACTATTTTCAGTAGCCAAGAAACGGAAGCAACCTAAGTGTCCATCAGTAGATGATTGCATAAAGAAGATGTGGTACATATACACAATGGAATATTATTCAGCCATAAGAAGAAAACAAATCCTACCATTTGCAACAACATGGATGGAGCTAGAGG